ATCCAGCAATCATGAGGCTTGTTGTGACGAGCCACCTCTGACAATGGAATGCCACCGCTGGAGTTGGGGATGTCCAACGGCACGTCATGCATATGAGCATGGGCCTTGGCACAAAATCTGTAGCCTACAGGCCTACAAAGCCTTCACGCCTAACAGATTGACAATCACTCTCAGGTTCGCAGCATCAAAACAAGGCCAACTTGAAAGCACTACTAGGCAAAGAGACCTGGTCAGAGAGAATCTTCTCAATCTCCTTCTTCACATCCAAGGCCTTCGTGTAGTCCTTCCAAGTGTGACCGCGTCACAACGCTCATGTGTTTCTCAAAGGTCGACTGGCTGGAAACAACTTAAGCTCAAAGATTTTGCCAGCCTCCGAGTCCAAAGCTGCTCTCTTCTGGGTCTCCAACCGCTGCAGCTTAATCTTCAGCTGAGGGTCCAAGTTCCTGAAACTCTGAATGTTGCCATTTGCCCCAAAGAGATCCCAAAGCAACGGCATCACATTGGCTCGTGCATTCCAAGAAAAACAGGCATAGCTGTTTGCTGCCCCTCTAACCAACTAAAACAAGTAGCTTGTCTTGCAGGAGGCGAGGGAGGCTGTCAGCCTTGTGACCATCTTTTGCTGTTTCGCTCAGAACGCGGTCGATCTCCTCACGAACCTCCACAATGCGCGCCTGTCACTGTCAAGAAGTCACAAAGAGCAGCAAAGAGCCCTATTAAAAGCAGAGGGTCGAGAAAGCTTTGTTGTGACTAGCAAGGGCTAGATAGGACTAAGATCTTCGTCAAAGGAATCCGCCAAATGCTTTGCCTCTCGAAGGGTGTGCCAGAATTCATCAGACATAAGGTCGCCGTCCACACCCAAGTTGCCCAAATGAGACTCTGGGCGCAAGTAGGAATCAATCCTTGTGGCCCACAAGACAACTTGGACATTTCTGAAAGTTCTACCAAAAAAGGGAGATGTTGTCAGCCGAAAAGGGTGGAAAAAAAGAAAGAGGGACCTGCATGGGAAGATTTGAAGTTCCGAGTGCATACAGTACACAGCTTCAGCGCCAAGCGTCTTGACGCCCTTGTGGATCTCGTTGAAAAACTTGGACGCGTCCTTTCCAGCCCACGCCACAATGGTTGTAGGGCCGCCCGGATGTCGATCCATGAATTCTGAGAGGTCGTAGACCTCCAACGGAAAGGTGTCAGGAAGCATCTGGAAAATGAGGATGCAAAACGAGAAAAAACACAGCGGAGCACCAAGGTCTAGCCTTTCCATTCAAAGCAACCCAGCAATCCTCTGGGATGCAGTGCCGGTTCACCTTGCAGCTTGGCTCAAGCCACTGCTGTCCCCTACTTGAGACCGTTCAAAGCTATTCCTTCATATTCCTTCATCTCTTCAATGCCCATACTCTAAGGAGTTAGAGTTAGTTCTGCAACCGTAGGCCGTAGGCTATCCACCACCACTATGCGCGCTCGAAAAGCAACAAATACCGTCTACCTCTTGAAGCTGACCACAAGAGCTCCCTCCAGGTGCCTCCGAGAGAGGAATGTTCTTGGAGATAGCACCCGTTGGCTTGTGTGCGAGGTGGAAGCCCTCGCCACAAGCACTCTCAGCCAAAGCAATCTACAAGCAAACATAAGTTCGGCTAAGTTCGTTCAGTCTGATGCAAGTTGCTCCCACACAAGCTGAAGCACGCCCTGACCCAGAGCCAGTCCCGCCTCTGGGTCGGTAGACGGATGCATATCATTCGGGGCCATGGCTGGAGTCTAGCCAGCAGGAGACTTATGAGGAACACAAATCACAAATCTTGGAACTGATTGCTGCTAAAGCGGCACCAGTAGCAGACACCACACAAGTCAACCGAAATTCTTTACGCTCAGAAAATGCCCGTGCAGCTAAGAATGCCCATGCAGCTCGTGCAACAAAGCAGGAGCACCCAGGACAGTCTTCCGCAGCAAACCTTCCACCTCCTCCTGAGATGCGCAAGATTGGACACGTCGGGAGTCTGCGACTTGCGCTGGAAAACATGACTTCTTGGATGTGTGTGTGTGTGTAAATGATACTTTAGCACTGCCAGGTGCAATACACCCAAAATAGAATATACCGTGTGTCCTGTGCACACGGACTTGATATTTGCCTCCATGCAGGCTCGGAATTGTTTCAAAGTTCCCCCCCAAAAAAATAATACTTTCGGAATGGAACATGATGAAATCTCCTGCAATGAGCAAAGGCAGGAAGGCCAAATGTGATCACCAATAGTTTTAGCCTTAGAGAGTATATACACACTTGGCGCAGTGAGTCCAGTTGCCACATCCTGAGGTTCCTACCAATTGCAGATTGGAACCGCGGTCAATTCCACACAGCCATCTCTATGATGAGAGCAGTTGGTTCGTTCTGAGGTTGAACGAAAATTATTCATTCACACCAGAAGTGTCGCTGTGCTTTTGAGTGCCGGTTGAGAATGTATTGGCTGCGCGGCCGCCAAACCTAACATGTTTGACTCGAGTTGTTCAAGCCTTGCATTTAAGGACCCAGGCCAGCAAAAATTGATTGAATCAGTCGCAACTTCTGGCTTGGGCATGCTCGTGCAAGATTGCCATGAGCATTACAATTTTGACGCCTGATTGCAAGCCGGCTGAACTAGTCCGAAGCTAATGCAGCTAATGGCCCTTGCGGCGCATGGCCGCCACAGCCTCAGTCATTTCGTCGCGCTTCTTCTTTCCACGGCGGTGAGTTCCAAGCCTTTTCTTGGCTAACTTCAGGGCACGCTTGAAAGTGGCGGCGGAGCCAATCTTGAGCAGCTCAATCATTCGCCTCTCATATGGCGCAAAGCCCACAACCTCACGGACTACCTCACGAATCAGGCCCACTTTGCCTCCCCGCTTGCCCTTGCGGTAGGAAGGCTTAGTCTTCAATGGCCTTCGGGTCACAATGAAACCCTTGTTCAATCCGGCAGCAAGGCCAGTTGCTGCTGGCTTCTCATAGCCATCCTTTGCCATTGTTCAGCTCTCCAGCTCTATGAAACCGGGTTGCTCTCAGGACTTAGCAGTCTCTTGAGCCAAGCAAAAAGGGTAGATGATGCTCAGATCAAACCCAGAATGTCTTGGAAATGGTCCAATTGAAAGGTATGCGCGCAAGCTTCAATCTGATTACAAGCCAGACTAAAGTTCATCAATCACAAGTACCGACAAGCTGCTCTATGTGCTTCAAGCTGGTGAATCTCACCAACTCTTGCACTTCGGCTCGTTGCTTGTCCTTTCCGATCGATGTCGTGGTTATCTGATCCTGTAACTTATATCATATACGGTACCATGTTGAATGGCCTTGTTCAAATCAAGACCATTCACACAGGCTTAACTCACGACCCTTTCACCCTTCACAAAAACTAGACTCCTCTGCTTTGCAACTTTGACAAGGACACTCGTGTTGAGGTTGATCGCGGTTCAAACTCTTTAAGACAGTGGGCCTTTCTTTCAAGAAACTTGGAGTCAAATCGGAGCAGAAACTATACAATGTGAGATCGAGCAAGTACCACCCTTAAATGCATCCCACTCGTCTTGCACAAAACTCTGTTCGTCTGCTGCCCACATGGGCGCAAGTGACGAATCTAAGCTGGGGAACAATTCAATGAACTCTGTCGGTTCAAAAATGTACACATATACCATTTGCGAGCTTCGTTTGCATGCACAATGCGAAATGTTGCTTGACTTCGCTTGAAACTGCAAGAATTACAGCTCTGCACTACTAGCTCTTCTGTCACATGGAAAACAAGTGAGCTTTTCTTGAGGCCTTCAAATGAATGGCGATACCTTCTTGACCACACCTCGACCCTGAGTCCAATGGTAGAAGGTGGTGTAGCCAAGGTGGAAGGGAAGCCAAGCGAATTGCAAGAACTTGCTCAGCAACTTGTGGGCGTCAATGGACTGCTTCGCCAGCCTGTCATTCCTCTTGTCATCTTCCGCATTTCCAGTCTTGTCAGAGCCCGGAGCCCACTTCAAGAAGTATTCGTTGGCAATGCCGGACACAGGCAACAAGAGAGCAAGGACATAGAAGGCACGAAGGCTCTGTGTCTCCAGCATTTGGACCATGGGATTTCCTGGGAAGCGGGGAGGAATGCCGCTCTGCATACGAAGGAAGAAGCGCACAACAAGGGCAAAAAGCATCGCAAGGCCGGTCTGTTTGTGCCACCACAGCATCTGTTTCCTGGTCTGCCCTTCTGAGTGGGAGGCGGCCTGAGCTGTTCCAACTGCTCCAAAGATTCCCACGGCCATGATGAGATGCAAGTGTCGCAATGCTCGGCTGTAGGTGAACTGTGACAAAGGCTTGGTGTTTTGCAAGGTCTTGTAGAGATACCATGCTACAGCCCCGACCGCAATATCTGTGGCCTTGTACTTCATGTATCGGCCCACCTCAGATGTCTCCTCGCCAACCACCTGAGCAACTGTGGCCTCCGCTGACCAGTCGGTGTTCTCTCCTGGCACCAATTGACCAACCAACATGTCCCGGTCACGCTGCACCCGAGCCTTCTCCGAATGCTCGAAGACCTCAAAGTCCTTGGTTGCATCTGTACCAGCTTTGTTCAACAAAATGTCGTCACCTCCTGGATGGCTTCCGATCAAAGGCTTCAAGTTGTAAACACGGTTGTGGATGATCATGTACGGCTCATCGGCGGTGGTGTGCTTCGCAACTTCTGCACGAGTGAAGAAAGGAAGCTCCTTCCCAGCTGAGATTTCTGCAAGCTTTGGAAAGCGAGCCTCCTCAGAGAGGGTTGGCGCATCTGTCTTACCTGGGACCTTCACTGCTGTCTTTGCTGCTTCAATGTCCTCCTTGGAGGGGCCCTCAAGCCTGCGCAACTCATCATGCAGCTGCTTCAGTTGCTCGTAGACAGCGTCCCTTTTTGGCTCAGCACCGACATCGCCCATCTTCCATTCGCTTCGCATGAAGAAATCCATCCACTGCTTGCTAGGGAAACGTCCAGGGATCTTGTCCCACATCGCAGTCGCATCTCTGCCAGCCCAAGCGAGGATGGAATTGCGCTGTTCGGGATGATGGATCAGGAAATCCGTGAGGTCATAGACATTCTTGTTGATGGCTATCCAGCAATCATGAGGCTTGTTGTGACGAGCCACCTCTGACAATGGAATGCCACCGCTGGAGTTGGGGATGTCCAACGGCACGTCATGCATATGAGCATGGGCCTTGGCACAAAATCTGTAGCCTACAGGCCTACAAAGCCTTCACGCCTAACAGATTGACAATCACTCTCAGGTTCGCAGCATCAAAACAAGGCCAACTTGAAAGCACTACTAGGCAAAGAGACC